GTTTAGTTAGTAGAGAGAGAGAGAGAGAGAGAGAGAGAGGTGGGTCACTGGGTTGAATGGTTAAAGATTGACGGACCGTGGGCCACTTTGCCATGGGGGTAAAGTTTTATTGATCTGGTGAGAGAGAGTGAGAGATAGAGAGAGACAGAAGATAGCGGGAGAGAAGGGGCTTCTGGATCTTAATAAACAATGGAGAGAGAGAGAGGTGCATCGTATTAAACAATGAAAGATACATGGGGATATTGGGTTGCAGTGGAAAAAGAAATTGTTTGTTCCTTGTGCACAATAGATTAACATCATCATGAATGTGTGAGAGAGAGTGGTGAGAGAAACACAGGTAGAAGAGGGTGGTGGGGCTAAGTACTAACAATGACATAAAACTGTTCAGGATGAGAGAGAGAGGGAGAGACAGGCATGAATGATTGAACAACTGTTTTGGCCGCCCTTTTAATGTCCCACCACTGTTCTCAGCCCGGACCAGTTGGCCCCGCCTGTGCATGAAGATATAAATGAATGAATCCCCTCCCTGTTCCAGCCTCAGCCTTCATTGTAAAAGACCCAGCACTTTTTTTAGCCTAAATCTGAGAAAGAAAACTATCTCTTTCCATTCTGGCTCTGCTCTTGCATGTATCGCGCAGCCCAAATTCATCATTTTGCTCTTTCATGTTCAAAATGATTGCACTGCAAAACTTGAATTTGAGAAAGAGAACAGTGCCAAGGGAACTGAACCCACGTAACAATGCCAATTAGAGGAGAGAGTTTTCCTTATCTTGTATGAGAGAGAGAGAGAGAAGGGCTTCAAATGAATACAAATGTGCATGCAGGTTTTTTTTTTTTTTTAATGTTCACCCCTAAGCTTATTAATAAAGGAGCGAAGCTCCATAATTACAGTACGAAAAGAGGAAGAAATAGGAAAAGACAGTACTCCCTAAATCCAAGAATGATGCATGCAATTATTGTTTATTGTATTTGTCATGTCCTTCTTAGGTCTTAAAATGGGAAGGGTGCACGGAGCATTTGATTTATTTCTTTATTTGTTTTCTGACCTATACCGTGTCCACACCATTGATGTTTCGTATTTTTTTCTTTTCTTCAATAAATGGGTTTTGATTTCTAAGGGAAGGTATTCAATTTCTGCCTCTTTGCCCAAGCCCAATACATTTTAATCCCCTTGTTCACTGAGTAGGCCCATGGGCTTGTCGGTCAGGCCCAATAAAAGGAGGGAAGTTGGAGAATTTATTTGGGTTATGATGATGGTTAATATGTGCCCTGAACCAAGTATAATGAGCTTACTGTAGACTAAGGTACCATTGCAATTAAACCCAAATTTAACTCTGCTTACAAATAACAAGAAGAAGAAACTCATGGATGCAACATATAGTAGAAAGTTTTTTCTCTTTTTTTTGAACATTAACCAGTGACATAACAAAACTGTCAGGCTTGTTATTGAGCCAGGTTTCAATGGCCTACATGCGCATTTAAGTAATGGCTGGCACAAAGAATACAGTACAGAGTCAACAATGAATCTCCTGACCTCTCGGTGGGGTAGTTAGGCTGGTGGGGTGCCACATTTTGATCGAAACTTCGAGTCCCATCCTAAGTTAACATGAGAGAGGGAGGCTGGCTTCTGGGCCTGTGTGGTCAGGGTGGTGGGGTGCCGCATTATGATCTTTAGAGTTCTATCCCAAGTCAACATGAGAAAGAAAGGACTTCGAACCCAAAGGGCAGGTGGTTAATATTTTTCACAGTACGCCTAAAGCGAAACATGCTGAAGGAATCAAGTTTCAATGATTTGAAATGGAAACTTGGGATTCAATCACCAATTATGTTGAATTTTTTTGGTAGGGATGAGCCCTTCGCTTGGGTGGTCAGTATGTGTGAGCCACAAAGTGAACAAAGGATTTATCTCTACCCACAAACACATAAAAAAGAAGAAGAAGGTGAAAATGTTTTGTTTGAGATTGAATGGGGTTTATGCCACATGAGAGTAACAAGGGCGCGTGTGTGTTTACTTGAGTGAATTAGGTGACTATGATCTAAGTCCAACATTCTTTACAAGGAATGAATAAATCACATGTGTAATGTTACTTATTGGGGTTTTATACATTATATGACCATTTGCCTCTGATATGAGCACAAAATCACTCCTAATTGGCCGATGGTAAATAAAATAGCTCGGGATGTATCAAGAAGAGAGCAACATCAATAGTATATCATAATCGCCTAATTTTATTTTCAACGGCTAAGATTGATTGTAATATTCTTGTAACAAAAGAATAACAGTCTTCTTACATACAATTTTTCATATACAAAAAAGACAAATTTTTTTTTACCTTACATGTCATGGTTGATAACTGTGCTAGCAGTGGGAAATATTGCAACACAATTCATCAAGTGATTCCCTTGCTAGTACTCTAGACTCGAAGAGCATGATTCTAAGTGATCTCTGGTGTTCCTCAATGTATGGGACATCTCATTTCATTTAGTATTTGTGATTGATAATAATCTCATACAATTTTTTTTTTCTCTATAGACTAATCTTAGGCTGTGGAGTTTCATCTAAGGTAAAATGCCTTTCAAAGCTCGTACTCTTTTTTTGTGGATAAATTATTATACTATGCAATTATCATTCAGCATATATTGGTCTAAGCTAGTTTATATTTCATCCTAAAGCTTAATGGATTTACTCTCATTGCTTAGGCCCTATTTGCACAGACCATAACATAACTCAGTTCTTCCCCCACCAACTCAAGAGTGAAAAGGGTTCAAAGTGTGGTCCTATGCTAAGACGCCTAGAGGGAAAGGGCTGTTTCTTTCCTCTGCTTATTGGGACAATGGCCCCCAAGCATTTCCCCATCCGTTTAAAAAGAAGCTAGAAAGTCCATGTTTATAAATTGGAAAAAGTTTATATAGAGCCGAGGCTCTAAACAATCAAATTAGAGCCTATCTCAAAAATTTCACTAGAAGAGGTTGTTTTGTTGCCCAAATGTCCTCAAATTGATCATCTCGACATCAAGATGTATGGACATGAGAAAAAAAATGGATTTCAAGTTTTGAAAATAGTATATTTTGTAACGCATTTTTGGACTGTCAATTTTCAAGATTTTCGAGTTTTTATAAATCTGTAGATCTACACTATTTTTGAAAGCTATATATTCTAAGGTTATCACAAAGATTACCAACATTAAAACCGCATTTCTCGACACTATTTGAAGGTAGGCTCTAATTTGATTGTTTAGAGCCTAAGCTCTATACAAACCTCACCCTTATAAATTATATGTTCATAAATAAAATATATGGGACTGTCCAAACTAAGCCTAAAGTTTACAATGGAAATAAAATCTATTTCCATATTTTGAATTGTGAAGCACTTCAATTTGTCGGATTTTATATCCAATGGCTGAAACTAATCGTGACCGCTTTGTACCAAAAAGAAATATTCTTATAATATAAAT